CCCCCAGCCCCAGCAGCTCCAGTACCTCCAGTACGAGCACCTCCGGGACCAGCGACTCCAGCACCTCCAGTAGACAAAGTACCAGCACCACTCCTAGCTCCAGGGACGTCAGCAGAAGTACCTCCAGCAGCAGAGCCCCGGGCTCCAGCAGCGCGACGCTGACGGCGACCGTACCAGTCGTGCAGCTGCTGCGAGGTGAGAGGCACACGTGGACGAAGGCGGCTACTCCAAGGAGACCGCGCAACAGCAGACTCTGAACCCTCAGCGCCAGCACCCTCAGCAGCTCCAGCGCCACCAGCACCAGGACCTCCAGCAGCTCCAGAACCTCCAGCGCTCGCACCCTCAGCAGCCCCAGAACCACCAGCTCCAGCGCCACCAGCACCAGGACCTCCAGCAGCTCCAGAACCTCCAGCGCCCGCACCCTCAGCAGTCCCGGAACCACCAGCTCCAGTACCTCCAGACCCCTCACACGCAGGCTCAGCACCTCCAGGCTCCACACTCTCAAGCTCCGCACCCCAAGGCTCAGCACCCCCAGAAGTAGCACCCCGAGCAGGACCACCCCCAGTAGGACCTGAGTCACCAGTGACCTCGACCGGCGCAGGGAAGGGAGGAGGGTCTACCTGAGACACACCTGAAGGAGCAGGACCGGGAGCGGGGAGGGGGTCTACCTGGGGAGCACCTGGAGCGAGGAAGAGCGGCGGGGGAGGGAGAGGGGCAGTGCGGTAGGGGAAGAGACGGTAAAAGGGAACCGACTCATCGAACGTGACGTCCTGAGACGCAAAGACACGGCGCGAGGTGGGGTGGTAAAACTGCCAACCAGGCGCGTCAGGGACAAAGCCAAGGAAGACACAGGGAACAGCACGGGCGGAGAGCTTGTCCGCGGTGGTATCGCGGACAAAGGCACAAGCACCCCAGACCCGGAAACGCGACGCATCGCCAACCTTCCCCGTCCACAGCAGCGTGGGCGAGGTCTCCGGCAAGGAGACACGGGGCCAGAGGTTAAGCTGATGCGCGGCGTACCGGACCGCAAACGGCCACAGAAAATGGGGGGCAGCCGCATGGATCATGGAGGTACGAGCGACCTCCATGACTAAGCCAATGCGGTGCTCAGCAACCCCATTCTGCTGCGGAGAGGCCGGAAGCGTGAACGACTGGGTGATGCCGTGCTCCGCACAGAAGGCTGCCAAGAGGTCTGAGGAGAACTCACCACCTCTGTCAGAGTGCAGACGCAGGACGGGAAACTCCGTCCCGAACCGCTCGCGGAGCTGGAGACGGGCAGCGCGGATCCAAGGGATCAAAACAGCAGGGACCTCCCCCTTGCTGCGCAGGGGAAAGACCGTGGTGTAGCGCGTGTAGTCGTCAACAACCAGCAGGAAGTACTGCTCGTGGCCCTGTCCACGGACGCGGGCTGGGCCCCACACGTCCAGGTGGAGAGTCTGCAGGGGAGCCTCTGTGGGAGGGAACGAGGAGGAGTGAGGAGCGGCGCGCTGCCGCCCCTCGACGCAAGGAATGCAGGGCGGCGCAAGCGAGGGAGGCAGGGCAGGCAAAGACCTGGGCAGACCAGAAACCAGGAAGCGAGAGTGCATGCCACGAAGGCGCTGCACCGAGGGGTGACCAAGGCGGTGGTGCCACAGGAGGGTCTGGTGCGACAAAGCGCGACACTCGCAGGGGGCCGTCGGCTGACCTGACGCAGACGCAGACGCAGACGCAGCTACCTGAGGGGACGCAGTGGTCAGGGTGTACAGACTCGAGCCAGGCGCACGGGAAAACGTGGCCAGGTGTCGGCCGGTCCGAGCACACGTACAGTGAGTCACTCGCTGACTCGCAGGAGTGAACTGGTGCACCCCCCTATCCTGGAGGTCAGCTCCACTCACCAAGTTCGTAGAGAACGAGGGGAGGTAAAGACCTGACAGCAAGCCAGACGGGGCGGCTGGAGACGGCAGAACCGTGGAGTAGTGGGCAAGGACTGGACCCCCGGAGGGGTCCGCCAGGGAGACTGGAACCGGCCGACTAAGCGGCGTGAGTGTGGTACAGTCGCGAAAGAAGGAGCGGGAAGCACCTGAGTCAAGCGTGAAGGTGTACAAGGCCGCAGCAGGCGCAGAACCAGAGAGAGCAGACTCACCAGCACCTGGAGCAGGAGACGTACCGGCACCTAGAGCAGCAGCCTCACCAGCACCCAGAGGAGGAGACGCACGAGCACCTAGGGCAGCAGCCTCACCAGCACCGGGAGCAGCAGGCGCGATACCAGGGTCAGGCGGGACGCACAGGTAACAGGCACGGTCAACACTAGTAGGCAATGCATACATGGCAGTGAGAATAGCATCATAGTCAGGAGCAAAGATATCTACCCTCTGTCCAAGCAGCTCCAGCCAGTCGGGGAGCTCAGCCTCGTCGCCAAACACTGTACGCCAGTCGTCGCTCAGACGGGCGAAGCAGCGGGACTGTGTGTGACCAAGCGTCCCGCAAGGCTGACCAACCCGAGCACCTGTGCGAATGACGTACTGGCAGCGAACTGTACGCGTAGACCTGCTAAACTGAGCGTACCACTCGTGGAGCTGCCGGGACGTAAGTGTCTCGCGAGGACGCCGCTGCAGCTGCAGCTGGCCACTGCCAGACGCTCCCAACTGACCAGCTCCAGGGGGACAGCTACGACTGCTACCGCGACAACCCCAGCTAGTATACCACTCACTAAGCTGCTGGGGCGTGAGAGACTCACGTGAACGTCGCTGGAGCTGCATCTGGCCACCGGCCAGTAGCAGTAGCAGCAGCAGTAGCGCGGGCAGGGCAGGCGCGGCAGGCCGACAGGCAGGCAGGCCGGCAGGCAGACAGACAGACAGGCCGGCAGGCAGGCAGGCAGGCAGGCAGGCAGACAGGCAGGCCGGCAGGCAGGCAGGCAGGCCGGCAGGCAGGCAGGCAGACAGGCAGGCAGGCCGGCAGGCAGGCGGGCAGGCAGGCAGGCCGGCAGGCAGGCAAGCAGACAGGCAGGCCGGCAGGCAGGCAGGCAGGCAGGCAGGCAGGCAGGCAGGCAGACAGGCAGGCCGGCAGGCAGGCAGGTAGGCAGGCAGGCCGGCAGGCAGGCAAGCAGACAGGCAGGCCGGCAGGCAGGCAGGCAGGCGCTCACCAAAGGCTGGAAGGCCAGGCGCTCGCCGGGCGAGCAGGGCCGGCGCTCAACGGGCGGCGGCGGAGTCGGGGCCGCAACACCCGGTGCAGAGTAGGGCCGAAGCAGCTGCAGGGCGGGGCCGCTTCAGCGGCAGGTCGGGGCCGTGGCAGCTGCAGGGCGGGGCCGTATCAGCGGCAGGTCGGGGCCGAGGCAGAGGGACGCGCGCGGCTCGGCGCGGGCTGCGCTGACAGCGCGCTGGGCTGCTGCAGGCCGCGCGCGGCCGCGCTAGGCAGTAGCGGGCCGCGCGCGGCTCGGCGCGGGCTGCTGCGGGCCGCGCGCGGGCCTCGCGAGGCAGGAGCAAGCCGCGCGCGGCTCGACGCGGGCTGCGTGGGCTCGGCGCGGGCTGCGCGCGGCAGCAGCGGGCTGCGCGCGGCTCGGTGCGGGCTGCGCGCGGCTCGGTGCGGGCTGCGCGCGGCTGCAGCGGGCTGCGCGCGGCTCGGTGCGGGCTGCGCGCGGCTCGGTAAGGGCTGCGTGCTGCTGCAGCGGGCTGCGCGCGGCTCGGTGCGGGCTGCGCGTGGCTGCAGCGGGCTGCGCGCGGCTCTGTGCGGGCTGCGCGCGGCTGCAGGGGGCTGCGCGCGGCTCTGTGCGGGCTGCGCGCGGCTCGGTGCGGGCAGCGCGCGGCAGCAGCGGGCTGCGCGCGGCTCGGTGCGGGCTGCGCAGGCCTGAAGGGCGTGTAGGGGCGGCGCGCGGGCCTTACGGGCCTCTAGGGGCAGCGCGCTGGCCTAGGGCAGCAGGAGGCAGCGCTAGGGCTGCTGGACGGCTCGCGTAGTGCAGCACGTCACAAGGCAAGGCAAGGCAGGCAGGTACGTGGGGTAGCGCGGTAACCGCAGCGGTAGGTGGGCCCGAAAAAAAAAACGGTCCTACGGACCTTAGTGCTCTGAAACCATGTTAGAATCTGGCAGCAGGAATGGATGAACTAACAGCATGCAGGAGTACAAGTAGTAAACCCTAATTGGGTTGTACCCCATATGGGCTACCCCACTACAGCCTAGACAATATGCAGCATGTATGTTTGACAGTCCGGAGGTTGAGTGCTCCGGTAGCCACTGTGCGCGCCGTTCCTGTTGCCCGAGTGTCTGTCGCCGTGTAGTCCGGGGCTCTGCGCCTGGTAGCGACAGTGCTGCGCGCTTCTGTTGCGCGTGTGTCTGCAGCTTCAGTCGTTGCCTCCCATCTTCTTGCTCCCACAGTTTCTCCTCCTCCTCACTTGCCCTCTGTGATAGCCTCTAGCTTTGCTTGTATTTGTGAACCTACTGCTCTGCCTGCTTGTTGTGTTGATTGTACCCCACTTTGACTATGGGGGTGTGTCAGAATGTGATGGTTGTCTAGCCTGCAGTGGGGTACTCTATAGCGAGTACAGCCCTTCTAGGGTTTGCTATATGTATCCCTATGCTTGTTAGTGAAAACCCTTCTTGCCTGTTTCTTCTTTCTGCCTAGTATTTCGACAATATAGGGGGTTTCCTAGCTACACGAAGACATCGGTGTAGGCGAGGTTTGGAAAGGTGGCGATTGGTGCGGGGACGAGTGGGGATGGTTCGGGCCGAAAGATTAGGCCGAACCCAAATGACGCGACCTGCTAAAAACATCCCTGCTAAGCGAATTCTACGGTAAGGAGATAACATTGGCTTTGCGATACTAACTGAATGGTCCTATCATTTGATGACACACAGACCATGCTATTTATTTTACATTTAAAAAGAAAATTACCGTTTACATCTCACATAAGAGAATGGACGAGACACAAAGGCATACACAAATATTTGTGACGCCTGCGCCCAGGAAAGAACTGAAAAGCATAGCATTACAGTAGCTACCGTAGCAGATGGTAGGTACGAAGGCATCTTCAGAGGAAGTAATCAGGAGCAGGCCGTCTGGAAGGAGCTCCTCTAGCATCCTGCTCAAGACAGGAAAACATGCAGGGCGAGCAGTATGCATAGGAGGAGAGAGTGAATGAGTGCATGCATTTGTTCCAGCATAACATTGATTGATCCAATCAGGAACAGGCCATCTGGAAGAGCTCTCCATACACCCTGCTTAAGACAAGAGAATCACCCCTCCCTCATATGCGGTGCTGCCTTGAATACACGGAATGCCTTTTCCCAATTCTCACTCAAGTGAAAAACAGTCACTGATAATCACCCCTCTACTCTGCTCACCTGCGGTGCTGCCTCAAAAACACGGAATTTCTTCTCCAGATTCTCATTCAGCTCCAGAATAGCTGCCACGTTGCCACACCTGCAGGGGGGACAGAAGAGGGCGAGCGGGGGATAAGAGAGAGTAAGTGCCTATGAGTATTCTCAAATTTACATCGCACAGCACCACACTGCATCACACAACAACACAATGCACTGAACAGCACCGAGCTGCTCCTCACAGCACCTCAGAACACTGCACAGCATCACACAGCACCGCACATCACCTCACAGCACCACACAGCACAGCAATGCACATCACCGCACACCACCACCCACACACCGGTAGCAGGTGTTCGGAGCGGACCAGACGGTGGCAAGTTGTTGGTTGAACATCCCACTAGTATTCCTCCATCACCAGCTCATGCACGCATGCCCCACCACACCGCACAGCACCACACAGCACCCATCCGCACACCCCACGCACCGGTAGCAGACGTTGGGGGCGGACCACACAGTGACGAGCTGCTGGCTGGTTGAACATCCACTTGTACCCCTCCATCACCAGCTGGTGCACGCACGCATGCCCCACAGCACCGCACAGCACCACACAGCACCCACCCACATGCACCACGCACCGGTAGCAGTAGTTGGGGGCGGACCAGACGCCCCTCCATCACCAGCTGGTGCGCGTCGGCAATCAGGTGTCCCACTGCACCGCACTACACCAGACAGAGTCGCACTGCACCTCATTCCACCGCACTTCACTGCACACCACCTCACTGCACCGCACACCACACCACACCTCACGCACCGGTAGCAGTAGTTGGGGGCGGACCAGACGGTAACGAGCTGCTGGTTGAACATCCACTTGTACCCCTCCATCACCAGCTGGTGCACGCACGCATGCCCCACAGCACCGCACAGCACCACACAGCACCCACCCACACACCCCCACCCACCGGTAGCAGTAGTTGGGGGCGGACCACACAGTAACGAGCTGCTGGTTGAACATCCACTTGTACCCCTCCATCACCAGCTGGTGCGCCCTCGCTATCACATCCACGCTGTTGTTGTGGTTGAAGCTGGTTACCACGTCACCACCGAACAGGTAACCCGCACCGCGCGGGCTCAAACCCCAGCCGTCGATCTCCTCTGGATCGGACCAGAGCAGATCGCACATGGCCCCGTCGTGAGGCACCTCTTGCTTTCTGTCGATCACTCGGATCTGCCGAGCGAAAGCAGGGAGCGAATGGGAAGGGAGAGAGGAATCAACAGTTGCCATCCCAGCCATTGGATCAATCTCCTCTGGATCGGACCAGCGTAGATCGCACATGGCCCCATCATGGGGTACTTCTTGTTTGCCGTCAATCACTCGGATCTGGCAAGAAGCAAGTGGAGTGGAGAGGGGAAGGAGACGAAAGAAGGCTTCAACAGTTGAAAACAGTTGGCATCGCAGGCCCCAGCCATAGGCTTCAATCTCCTCCCGATCGGACCAGAGCAGATCTTGCATGGACCTATCTTGAGGCACCCCTTTCTCGCAGTCGATCACTCGAATTTGAAGAGAGTGAGCAGAGAGAGAAAGGAGAAGGGAGAATGGAACAGCAGGAGAGGCAGAGGAGGGGCGATGGGATCAGCTGGCATCCCAGCCGTTGACTGTACCTGTTTTCGTCGAACGAGCTTGTAGCAAGGCATGCACATGAGAGAGGAAGGGAGATGACAAGAACTTGGGAGAAGCACAAAAAGGGAGAAAAAAAAAAAAAAAAAAAAAAAAGACACAGCGCAAAGGCACAAAAAAGAGACTGCCGGCCACCCTGGGCGGGTGAAGAGAGTTGAACGGGTGAAAGTGATTATATCCTGTTTGAAGGGTGCATAACGTGTAAAATCAGGCAAGTCCTGGTGTAGAGAGGTGATGGAGGGCGAGAAGTGAGGGAGATAAACATGATAGAGACCCTGTGTACGTGGGGGCAATTACCTGGTCTAGAGAGGTGATGGAGGGCGAGAGACCCCCATGCACACAGAAGATTTGATTGTCCACCAGCGCTGACAGGCTGGTAGGGGAAGAAGAAAATGTGTGGGTGGGGCAGATGAGACAGGTGGGAAGTGGGAAGAAACGAGTGTGAAAAACTTTCTGATTTTAGCACGAGATATAGCGAGAAACCTCCATGCAAGCAAAATATTTGATCGTCGGCCAGCACCAACAGGCTGGCAGGAGGGGGGATGGGAAAGCGCGGGCGGAAAGGAAAGTGGAGGGGAGAGGGAGGGAGAAGGTCGGTTAAACGCGAGACCGCATTGACGCGAGGAGGAAGGCGCGTTGGAGCCTCCAACGTGTCTTTTTTTTACACGAGAGCCTCTCGTAAGAGCTTGTCATGCCGCGTGCGTGAGGCTTTGTAGTCAACACGAAGATCTGGTCGCGACGAGACACAGGTAACAACGCCAGGTATGCTGCTTCGTGCTTCATGATTAATTCATGGTTCACCTGAGGTAGTCAAGCTTTCGGCGCAGTACTGCCAGCCGTGCAGTCACTGACCCCTACTGCGGGTGACTGTTAAGGTCAGAACACAACACAACACAACACAACACAATGGCTCCGCTTACCTGAGATTGTCAAAGATGTCAGTGCAGTGCCGCAACACGCTCACTGCCCCTCTGTATGCTTGCAAATGGCTGCTGGAGTGAAGCCCCGTAGACATCCCCTCCTCTTTCCCACCTGAGGTAGTAAAAGATGTCGGTGCAGTACGTCCACACGTTCACTGATCTGTACTTGCACAGGACTATTGGTGCACACAAGGCCACCTCATACACAGTCACCGCCTTAAGTGGTACATAGTTACTGCCTCACCTGAGGCAGTCAAAGTAGTCGGAGCAGTATCACCACAGGTTCACTGACCCATACTGCAGGGCAGGTGACTGTTTGAGTCACAACACGGCGGCTTGGCCCACCTGAGGTAGTCAAAGATGTCGGTGCAGTACCACCACACGTCCATCGGTCCGTATTTGCACAAGACAGTTGCGTGTGCGAAAGCCCACCGCGCACATGGTAACCGCATCAGCGTACAGGGGTAACCGTGTACAGGTGCGCTGCGCACACTTGAACATTCCCCTCCCCACCTGAGGTAGTCAAAGATGTCGGTGCAGTACCGCCACACGTTCACTGATCCATACTTGCGCAAACACTCATCGTAGAAGCCATACACCTGAGGGGGAGAGGGAGTGGCAACAAAGGAGCGGGGGCGGGAGGGGACGGAGGGGATGGAGAGGAAATCAGCATTGAAACGGCCAAAGTACCACCTTCACAACTCTTTACGGCAAGAGGTGAATTTTTTTGTGCAAGCTGAGATGTAAGCGATGAGATGAAGTGGTGACGATTGGGAAGAGGAGGATGTGAAAAGAGGAGGGGAGAAGATGAGGATAGGAGGAGAGGAGAGGGGGAGAGGAGAGGCGAAGAGACAAGGAGAGGAGGAGGCGAGAAGGCGAGGACGAGAGAGGAAACATAATAGAGCTAGCCTTGAGCGGAGGAGAGCGACACGCACCTGTGTTATTTGTCGACTCTCGTGGTTCCCTCTAATGAGTGTGATTCTATCAGGATATCGCACCTGCTCAGGAATCAGCCAGCACACGACCAGCACCGAATTCAGGTATAGAACACAAAACATGACACAGAAAGCGCGCCGAAGGGCACATCAAACGTTCAACCCGGACACATCAGCACAAATACGGCACTTACCAAGCAAGCCTGGCCTTTACCCAGAGTACCCCAGAGCAAGCCTGGTATGAAAATGACGCTTACCTTGAGCGCTAGAAGGAGAAGGAAGGTCTCGACGGAGTAGAATCCCCGGTCCACAAAATCCCCCATAAAGAGGTAATTCGTTTGTGGACAGTCGCCGCCCACTTTGAAGAGCTCCATCATGTCGTAAAACTGCCCGTGAATGTCGCCACAGAGCTGTGATGGGGTTTGTGGTTGATGCCGGGAGGTAGAGTTTGGGAGGTTGGCGAAAGGGTAAAAGATGAGTGAGATGCCACAGGACCGCACGCACTTCATAAGAGCCTCATCATGTCGTATAACTGCCCGTGTATGTCACCACAGAGGTGAGGGATAGAGGGCATCTTTATTGCGGGGAGAGTATGGTAGGGTAAATGCCATTTGGAGGGAGGTGAGTGGAATTCCACAAGGCCGCACTCTGAAGAGCTCCATCATGACGTAGAACTGCCCGTGGATGTTGCCATAGAGCAGCGGGGGGGGTTCACAGTTGATACCAGGAGGTTGGGGAGGGGAGTTGGCGGTGGTTGAGTGAGATGCCACAAGGCCGCACTTTGAAGAGCTCCATCATGTCTTAAAACTGCCACACAGCTGCGAGGGGAGGGGTTACTGTTACAGAGCTACTGTTACAGAGCTGCGAGGGAAGGGGGTACTGTTACAGAGCTACTGTTACAGAGCTGCGAGGGGAGGGAGGCAAAAGAGGGGAGGGGGGCTACTGTTACAGGTGAATCGACTTGTTCCTCGTTGCTCTCCTCCACCAGCACCTCCATGGCTTTCATGCACCTGGTTACAGTCACTCGCGAAAGCATGCGAAGGGAATATAGTACCGTTACAGGCGAGTCGACTTGTTGCATGTTGCCCTCCTCCACCAGCACCTCCATGGCTTTCATGCACCTGGCTACTGTTATTTGCGAAGCTCTGCGAAAACGAGCTCTTACTGTTACAGGGGAGTCGACTCGTTGCACGTTGCTCTCCTCCACCAGCACCTCCATGGCTTTCATGCACAGCGCTTTCACCTCCGACTCCTTCAACGGCTCACATCGCCTCAGCTGCTCGATCTGACGGTCCAGATCCGACATCACGCCGCTCATTGCGCTACCACTGATCGCGTTCTTGACGCTCCTGCGCGAAGCTTAGAGTACGTAACGAGATATTCCAAATCTCCGCTTTGACTTTCGCTTATCTTCGCCCGCTATCGCAAAAGTGCTCGTCGCCTTATCCAGTTCTAGTGTCTTACTTAGTACGCGCACCAATTCACTGGTAAATGGTCGCGGGGCTTCAAGTCACGCTTGAACTCCTAACGGTTAAGGTAATTCTGCTGACGCATATGGCTTAAGCAGGCCTTTTAAGTTGGATCCTAGAACTCGCCGTTCTCCTAAAAGCTTTAATATTTTATATTCAAGGGAGCGTTGCTACTGCTGCTGGTTTACATACGGTCTTCTCATTCCTGACGGTAGCAAACGAGCGTTATACCGAACCGATGTTATATCCAGTGACTGTAACGGTATACCGGGCTCGCTCGCTCCATCAATACGAATCGCTCGGGTTTCCTCGTCTCTCAACTGATCCCTACTGCGACCCCGCGTGGCCGCCTAAGAGGAAAGCAACTATCTCGCATGAACCAGCCCAGTTGTAAAGTACCTAGTTCGACGTTCAAATGTACGACAAACGATACCCTAGATGCATCAAGCTTCACCACTACGCAGGTCTAATGAGCTGTTCCTAAGATAAGGAGGTATTTGGGCAATTCAGAATAGGACGTGGTTCAAGTGAGCTGCACATCTCGGGTGCTTCGGTTCGACGGGTTTTTGCATTTTTACTGGACGGTCTATCTTGTTTTAGAACGGTTGGGCGTGGATATCAAGAATATTCATTCCCAAGGTGCCGAGCGACAGGCAAGTGACAACGGCAAGGCATCGTGAATTGCGTGTGCGACTCTCAATCGTGCCACTTCCGTGATTGGCAGACGAAAACCCTTGAAACTGGCTCAACTCGGCGCGACGACGTCGTCAGAGCCACGTCTTCACATCGGGAGTGGTGGTTTCGTCACGGACACACTTCGTCATTGTCGCCAGGTCTATAGTGGTAAGACAAGAAATCATTGTAATTTGCAACAAAATTTTCTAATACGGTGGAAACTTGCAGTCCTACCCTCTGATTACCAAATGCATTTTCATACAATCAATTTTATCCCAGTTATATATATAAATTTTTTTAATATGATTCAATAGTTTCATGCAGAATGTGAACAACGCTGTTCATCTTAGGAGCATAATAAGTTCTTAGGTCCTGAAACAACTGGTCATTCTATTGTGAGCACGTAGTCCAAGAGGAGGGATGTTATAACGCGTTTCTGTCTCCCGAGAGATCCAGCACCTTCTTGTCCTCCTTGACAACTCGTCACATCACGTGTGATTACTTTTCTCCCTCCTCTATCTTGCTGACACCGCGTACACAACACACCCCACCATCGCCATGCACTGCGCTTCCTGTGCTGATGCTGGCAGGTAATTATTCGCACCTGCTAGACTCCTCTAGATTTCTTGCTCTTGTCGCCATGCAACGCGCTCTGCTGTGCAGCCGCTCGCCTCCTATTGGCGCGTGGTGCTTGATTCGCTCCGCACCATGCTAGGCTTTCCGAGGCGCGTTCCATGGGACATGCTAGACGTCTCTAGATGCGTCGCGAGCATGGTCTGCTGAAGCCTTTCAAGGCGTTTCGTCAAAAAGACGCGAGAAGTCGGCTCCGATCATGATGCCGCTGCCAGCCCTAAGCATGGATGGTTCGAAGCTGCTACACGATTCGAGAACGTCACATTTCGAGAGCATTTGGTGGCACTGATGCAGGTTCACAAAAATATATTAGTTCCATTTGTCATAGTTCGTCACCGAACTTCCAGACTTTTACTACTACCGTTCTTAGCGCTTCCTTCAAGCTCTCTGACCTAACAAGCTCGTGCGTTGTCAGTCTCTCTCGCTTCCCCGAGTAAATAGCTCCCAGTCTCAACAGCTTTCAGTGCGTACGACCGTTCTTGACTTCTATTTACCGCCATGGCTCTCGCTCCGTGGGCCGGTATGGGTATGATGGACCCCTTCGCACCCATGACGTCCCTCACGTCCCCTACGGGCCCGCTGGAGATGATGCCGCGTTGGATGCGCTTTCCCGACGAGTTCAGCTCGCTCTTCGAGGCTCCCACCGCCTCCTTCCTCCGTGAGACGCAGGTGAGCTATAGTAAGCCTGTTCTTCCGTGGTTGGTTTTCCAGTTCTTATTTCCGTGGATTTTGCAGTGGTTTCACATGGAAATGGTTTTGCATGACTTTTATGTTATTTTGGGTTATTTCATTCCGTGAACAAGAGCTGACCTTGAGCCCTTTTGCTGATCTGGTTACGAATGTTTTTTCGCAGGACATCGCTCGCACGGCGGTGGACGTTCGCGAAACAAACGACGCGTTCAAGTTCATCGCAGACATGCCCGGGCTGCGACGCGAGGAGGTGAAGGTTCAGATCGAAGACGGTAATGTGCTCGCGATTCGTGGCGAGCGCACGCGCGAGAAAAAGGAGGATACTGGGAGGTACCACCGCATGGAAAGGAGCAGTGGGAAGTTTCTTCGCAGGTTTCGCCTTCCGGAGAACACGGAGGTGGATAAGGTTACGGCGAACACGGAGCACGGCGTGCTGACTGTGACCGTGCCTAAGAAGCAGCCCACCGAGCCGCAGAAGGAAGGCGAGCCTAATGTTCGCGACGTGAAGATTCAGTTCACGATGGAGTAGAACTGTTCTGTGTGAAAGTGCGTTAGTGGTACAGTCGGTGGTTTTGTGTGGAGGTTGCTCGGTCGCTTGTTGTACATAAGCTTTTGTGTACAGTTTCCTGATGACAAGTGACATTTGCTAAAATACTTTTGGGTTGGCACAATATGATGCACAAGAAATTGGCCATGGAAGTAAATCTGGTGAGGTGGTTCAGCAGACAGTAGAGAGATAAATACGGTAGGCCTCTCTAGAGGTGCATTGGATAGACTAGGCAGGAAATAACCGTAGACCTTCCTAGACCTACTTGAACATGTAGGCATGGCGATGTGTGGATAGATTGAAAGATGGGTGGATAAACTCTTCTCCATTCGGTAAGTTTCACGCCCTAATGATAATTTCCATGTTCTACTGATGTTTAGACTGTTATATTTGAACTATGTACACTTTGTCCTGCGCGTTACGGGTAGGTCCACTGAAACTTCCAATCTATGGATTTTTCTTTGGTGAAACGTCAGCCATGGCCGATCAACTCCTCCCTTATATAGCAGCAATAAACAGGTACCATGAAAGCCTACACCTATGTTTCAGCGGGAGCAGCTGGCGTGGTAGCTGATGTTGACTTTACCACCCCTGCTCTCTCAAAGTACTTGTTATCCTGTAATGCATGTCAGTGAGAAACGGCGAGCATAAAAAAAGATGCCTGAGAGACTGGGGTTTGAGAAATTTTACGGTAGTGAAAGCCAATGTGGGCAAGCGTGCATGCATGCGCGTGTCATATGGGAGAGGTGTCATGAAGGAACATGTAGTTTATGCATGCACCCATGCACACCCATACATGCATGAGCATGGCAACGCACCAGCATCTGTTGGTAGCTAGTGATGATGGCGTCTCGCTCCACGCACCCATGCACACCCATGGACACCCATGGACACCCATGCACACCCATGCACACCCATGCACACCTGCATGTTGATGGCAACGCACCAGCATCTGTTGGTAGGTGCTGATGGTCACATCTCGCTCCATGCATGTGTCTGTGTATGCCTGGATGGTTGCTGCTGCCTGCAGGGGAAGGAACGGGAGGGCAGGAAAGAGGAGGGCAAGAGGAGGGCAAGAGGAGGGCAAGAGGAGGGCAAGAGGAGGGCAAGAGGAGGGCAAGAGGAGGACAAGAGGAGGGCAAGAGGAGGGCAAGAGGAGGGCAAGAGGAGGGCAAGAGGAGGGCAAGAGGAGGGCAAGAGGAGGGCAAGAGGAGGGCAAGAGGAGGACAAGAGGAGGGCAAGAGGAGGGCAAGAGGAGGGCAAGAGGAGGGCAAGAGGAGGGCAAGAGGAGGGCAAGAGGAGGGCAAGAGAGCAGAAAGATATATGACATCCATGTGGTGATGAGGGCGTGCCACTCCATGCATGTGTCTGAGTATGCCTGGATGGTTGCTGCTGCCTGCAGGGGAAGAAAGAGAAGAGTAGAGCAAGAGAGCAGGGAAATAGATGAGAGGTGGTTGGTGGTGATGGCGTATTGCTCCATGCATGTGTCTGTGTATGCCTGGATGGTTGCTGCTGCCTGCAGGGGAAGAAAGAGAAGAGTAGAGCAAGAGAGCAGGGAAATAGATGAGAGGTGGTTGGTGGTGATGACGTCTTGCTCCATGCATGTGTCTGTGTATGCCTGGATGGTTGCTGCTGCCTGCAGCAATGCGGCAAACAGAAACTGGATGACCCTGGAACAAATACACATACATAGATACACACATATGTGTGTGTGTACACAGAGATGATTAGTAAAAAAAAAAAAAAAAAAACTAATCACTCAGCCCGTTCCACACCGTACCTTGAATCATTGCTGCAGGTTCAGGCCGCCCTTGGTGATGTTGCTGTAGCAGAAATGGTCGAAGGCACTCACCCTTCTTACTGCTGCGTACCAGACACCGCTGCACACGCACACCACACACAGAATCACACCACCTCACACCGCGCACCACTTCCCACCGTACCTCGAACCAGCGCTGCAGGTTCGGCCGGCCCTTGGTGATGTCAGTGTGGCAGAAATGCTCAAAGGCGATCTTGAATCGCTCCAGGAATGGCAGATACGCGATGTCCACCTGAGGGCGATACGAGGATGAAGAGGAGTGAATTAGGTAGTGCCAAAAGGGAGGCACCCAAGGCAGCGGGTGATGTTGGTGCGGCAGGGGTGGTCACATGCAATTTCAACTCGCCCCAGGAAGGGCAGATAGGCGATGTCCACCTGAGGGCGATACGAGGATGAAGAGGAGTGAATTAGGTAGGTCCAAAGGGGAGGCACCCAAGGCACTGGGTGATGTTGGTGCGGCAGGGGTGGTCATATGCAATTTCAACTCAACTCGCCCCAGGAAGGGCAGATAGGCGATTTCCACCTGAGAGAGAGATAGGTAGATGGAGATAGGTAGATGGAGATTGAGATGAAAAAGGGAGGGGGGGTGGGGAGTGGTGGGAGCATGAGAAAAGGTAGGGATCTTCTTGTTGGTAAAAAAAGGGCATTGGTGGGGGGGGGGGGGGGGGCCGGGGGGGGGGGGGACGAAACACGGCACTGGTTGTCGACTGTGTGGCAAAAATGGTAAGAGAGAGGATAGAGACGGGCAGATAGAGAGTGGATTTGGTGGGAGGGAGTGGGAGAGGCATTAGTTGGGAGAGGCATTAGTCATTAGTTGGGGGAGCATTGGTGGGGGGTGGGGAAGGAGGCACATTGGATCTTGCAAAACGACACTAAGGTATGAATACCAAAGCTTACATAACGCATGAATACTTGAGCTTACATTGCGATACGATTATTTGATTTTGAATCACGACACGAATATTCAAGATCACATTACCATAAGATTATAACAGCTTACAATAACATCTAACACTGAGGAAGCGAGAGCCCTAGCGAGATGTTACAAAAGTTTCTTCTAGAGACTTACGTATGAGAAGCTTCCTAGAAAAAATGGCCCATTTGCTTGGTGCTTGCCCAGGCTCGCCTCAATGGAGTCCAGATGCGAACCTGATGGGATGGGCATGAGATGATTGACAGGGCACAAGCAATTAACGAGGAAAATAACTGTGATTTTCTAGTCGACTCAGAAGTCAACTCAGCCCAATCCCTATTTGCTTGCCCAGGCTCGCCTCAATGGAGTCCAGATGCGATCCTGGTGGGGACGAGATGGTGACATGGCACCATCATATCACACCAATCGACATGGCACCATCATATCACACCAATTGACATGGCACCATCACATCACACCAATTGACATGGCACCATCACATCACACCAATTGACATGGCACCATCACATCACAACAATTGACATGGCACCATCACATCACACCAATTGACATGGCACCATCACATCACACCAATTGACATGGCACCATCATATCGCACCAATTGACATGGCACCATCATATCACACCAATTGACATGGCAATAAACGAAAAGAGACCATGCTTCTTGAGTCGACTCAAAAGTCAGGTCAGCTCAGCCCATTCGCTTGGTACTTGCCCGTGCTCGCCTCAATGGAGTTCAGATGACAAATCAAAGAAAAGAACATGCGAATGGTGAGCCTTTACATCAGTCAACTTTTGAGACGTCTCAAAACACTTCTTCAATCAGTCGAGCACCACGTTCTAATCATCTCACAGGTCAAAGTATAGTTGAACTTGTCACACGTACGATGCCATGCTATGTGATTGAAGAAGTGTTTTGAGACGTCTCAAAACACTTCTTCAATCAGTCGAGCTCCACGTTCTGCTCATCTCACAGGTCAAAGTATAGTTGAACTTGTCAGACGTACGATGCCATGCTATCCCATGGACCTAACTCTACGGGATAGCATGGCTCCCAGAGAAGCCTCTACTTCTGCCTCGCCGGCCGTCTGATAGATATATGCAAAAAGGCTAAACCAAAAAAATACAAAGCCCTGCACCCTCACACACGTACGATGCCATGCCATGCCATCCCTTTTGAGAATTCTCAAATGCCATGCCATCCCATGCACCCAGCTCTCACCCATTGCAGCCTCCACCTCCGTCTCGCCACCCGTCTGATAAAGCTGGGATAGGGTAGAGTATCCAGCCATCATCAAGTCCCCGCACGCTGCTACAAGCGCTGATGCCTCTGCTGCCAGGGCAGGGTCCTGCATGCATAGGGGTTGGCAGGCAAGTCAAGAGAGAACACACGCAGTGGGAGGGGTGTGATAGAGGTGGGTGGGAGAGAGCAGAGTATCCAGCCATCATCAAGTCCCCGCACGCTGCTACAAGCGCTGATGCCTCTGCTGCTAAGGCAGGGTCCTGCATGCATAGGGGTTGGCAGGCAAGTCAAGAGAGAACACACGCAGTGGGGCGGGTGTGATAGAGGTGGGTGGGAGAGAGCAGGGCATCCCGCCATCATCAAGTCACCGCACGCTGCTACAAGCGCTGATGCCTCTGCTGCTAAGGCAGGGTCCTGCATGCATAGGGCTTGGCAGGCAAGTCAAGAGAGAACACACGCAGTGGGGCGGGTGTGATAGAGGTGGGTGGGAGAGAGCAAGGCATCCCGCCATCATCAAGTCACCGCACGCTGCTACAAGCGCTGATGCCTCTGCTGCTAAGGCAGGGTCCTGCATGCATAGGGGTTGGCAGGCAAGTCAAGATAGAACACACGCAGTGGGGCGGGTGTGATAGAGGTGGGTGGGAGAGAGCAGGGCATCCCGCCATCATCAAGTCACCGCACGCTGCTACAAGCGTTGATGCTTCTGCTGCCAGGGCGGGGTCCTGGGTACACACACGCAGTGGTTTCGGTAGGGCGTGACCGAACACGCACAGTGAGAGGGAGGGGTGTGTGGAGGTGGGAGGGAGGGGTGTGTTGAGGTGGGGGGGAGCAGAGTAAAGTATCCGGCCATCATCATGTCCCCACACGAGGGCTGATGCCTCTGCTGCCATGGCAGGATGCTGCACACATGCAGACAGTGGGGGCAGTGTGGTTGACAGTGGGGGCAGTGTGGTTGACAGTGGGGGCAGTGTGGTTGACAGTGGGTTGACAGTGGGTTTAGCAGCGGGGTTGGCAGTGTCAAGAGGTTTCAGTGCGGCCAAGGCAGTGGGGGTCTGACAAAGGTGGGAGAGAGCCAAGGAGAATATCTGGCCATCAGCATGTCACCGCATGCTACTACAGGCGCTGATGCATCTGCTGCCATGGCAGGGCCCTGCACACATGCAGACAACAGCGTTGATAGTGGGGTTGGCAGTGTCAAGAGGGTTCAGTTTGGCCATGGCAGTTGGAGTGTGAGTATCCAGCCATCGTGAAGTCACTGAATGCTGCTGCAAGGGCTGATGCTTCTGTTTTTATTAACAAGGCGCTGCATGCATTCAATGCGTTTGATTGCCAAGTGGACGTGTTAAGACTCGCATAAGCAGCTCTACAGAAGGGGGTGAGGGAGGGGGAGGGGGGAAAGATATGTTCAGCAAACTTAGTACGGGCAAGGGTGAAAAGCGGTGGAGACCTCATTTCAACCTCAATGGGCGAGTGGAAAATGAACGAGTACACGAAGTGGAGGGTAGCTGTAACATTCCCGGATGCTCGTTCACACCGGCACAATATATAATTCGAATCACATGTGCAGATCAAGTACGGCGCGATTTGGATATTGATCACGATTACAACTTGGCTGGGAGGGTGTCGGAGGTGGGCCATGTGCTTTTGGGACGGGAACTTCCAACACCTCATGAATTCATCTCGCCTCCCTAGTTTGAGGCGACAGCCAAGTTGAGCGTGAAACATGCCCATCTAGAGTGGGTGGATATGATGAACACGAGCTTGGGTGGTTTATTACGGCACCCAAAACTCAATAAGCCACATTAGCTCGTGTTCACCACATCCACCCACTCTAGATGGGCAGGTTTCACGCTCAACTTGGCTGTCGCCTCACGCTGGGGAAATGAGATGAATGCGTGGGGTTTTGGAAGTTTTCGCCCTAAAAGCGCATGACCCACCTGCGACACCCTTCCAGCCAAGTTGTAATTATGAAAATTGCCCAAATCGCACAGTACTTCATTCATACCTGTAATTCAAATCTTTTATTGTACCAGAGTGAACATACATCCGGGAATGTTACAGTTATCTTCCACCCCGTGTACACGTTCACCTTCCACTCGCCCGTTGAGGTTGAAATGAAGCCTTATACCATTTTCCAGCCTTACCCATAATGAGTTTGCTAAACGTATCATACTCTTTTTCAGGCCTCCACCTGAAGAGTTTGCACTATTTTTTTTCACCTATAACCGAATTTTCCAGCACTTTTTCAAGAGTGCACACTGATTCATCAGCTTTAGATGTCAAGAGAACACTGATTTTTTTACAACCGTAATTTGAGACGAGGTCCCTGTATTTACAAAACTTAATTGTAAGACCGTGCCAATCTCGCCGAACATGCTGCGCCAGATTTCCCCTCTTACAAATACATGTTCAATCCAAACAATCTCGAAACCACAACAGAGACTCCACTTCAGTCCACTCCCCCGTTCCCACCCGGGCATGGTGGTAAGAGTTCGCAGCAGCAGCAGATTAAGCTCATAACATTTCAGAACTCTCCACCCCACACACAACATGCACTTGTTGCCTTGCCACTCCTCACCTCAGGCACATTTATTGGTCCCTGATCGCCAAACCATTCGTCAGGCAGCAGGTCAAGACTCTCCCCCACCACCTCCATTGTTTCAAAACTCCCTTCCCCTGTACCACATAACATGGATGGAACTTGCCTTGCCACTCCTCACCCAAGACACATTCATTGGCCCTTTGTAGTGGAACCACTCGTCAATCAGCAGCAGCAAATCCAAGCTCTCCCCCATCACCTTCCCTTGCAACACATAACTTGAACCAACCAACTTGTACTAACCTCGGGTATGATCCTCGAGCCCTGATCACCGAATGATCCGTCCAGCAATACCAGCAGGCCCAGGCTCTCCCCCACCAACTCGCATTCCGAATCTCCTTCCCTCGTAACGTAACACACAGCTCACCTCAGGTACGATTCTCGGCCCCCTTGTTGCAAAACCACTCATCAATCAGCAGCAGCAGGTCCAAATCATTTTTCTCACCTTCCCATCCCTAGCACCCAAAGCACTATACCAACGCCACTACTCTCACCTCAGGTACGATTCTCGCCCCCTTGTCGCCGAACCACTCATCAATCAGCAGCAGCAGGTCCAAATCATTTTTCTCACCTTCCCATCCCTAGCACCCAAAGCGCTATACCAACGACACTACTCACCTCAGGCACGATCCTCGGTCCCTTGTCGCCGAACCACTTATCAATCAGCAACAGCAGGTCCAAGCTCTCCCCCACCACCTTCCACTCCAGGCTCCCTTCCCGCGCCGCAACACCAAAGCCTTTACTTGTTGCCATGCCACAGCCACTACTCTCACCTTAGGCACGATTCTCGGTCCCTTGTCGCCGAACCACTCATCAATCAGCAGAAGCAGGTCTAAGCTCTCCCCCACCACCTTCCCGTCATGCTCCATAGAAGGCACCTTGCCTGGCGGATACACCTTTTCCGTGTACCTGTGGGTGGGTGGGTGGGTGGGTGGCGGGGGAGCGGAGATTCTCAAACCAGTAACATGGTAACCAGAAGTAGCAGCTGTTTCAGAGGTTTCCAGGTTCTCTCCCACCTTCCCGTCATGCTCCATGGAAGTCACCTTGCCTGGCGGATACACCATCGCTGTGTACCTGTGAGAGGATCATTGGGGGGGGGAAGGGGGGGGTGGGGGGGAGGGGGATGGATGGGTGTGGGAGGGAAGGGGCAGGGGCGGATAGGCATGGTAACCAGTGGGACCCCAGGTGGCAACCAGCAGCAGCAGGAGCACGTTTCACGGTGAAAACGTTTAATATCCGTCTCCCACATGCGATAGAAACTCTGTGGTACTCATACTTGAGAAGAACTTTGTGCTTAAAGCCCAGCCCCCAAATTGCAAAGATGCCTTCACAAACTGGGCCCAGTTTGTGTCTCGCCCCTTCTGGGTTGAGGGCAAAAGGGTTTCGGAACTTTTCCGAACCTCCAACTGCCTGCCTTTCCGAAGCTGATTTTGGCGCGTTGACTTCGTTGAGCAATTCGGTTGTTGCCCTTTAACATACTTGGAAAAAAATGTCATTCAGAGCGCATATGAAACATCATTTAAATACCATTCGGGCTTGCTGCTGATCTCCACTCGCTCGATGAAATCAGTGGGACCCTTAGGTTACCACTTGGCAACTTGGCACCATGTGGTAACCAGTATGTGCTTACCATTCAGGTTTGCTGCGAAGACTGATCTCCACTCGCTCAATGAAGTCAAGACCCTGTCAACATGAGGAGATCGCGAAGAGAGAACACATTGGGCAGAAAAAAAAAAAATGCTATATAGAAAGTTCCCTTATCCAAGGAAGAAAAAGAAAAAGCAGAAAAGAAAGGATGAAAGAAAGAAAAACGCACACACACACAAAGTCAAAAGATCACCAGCAAGGCAGGCGTCTCACCTTGTAGTTGACAGCAATCACCGCCCGCTGAGCAAAGGGACATGCCTTGTAGTGGTATAGACTGGAATGGGGGAAACAGGAGATGGGAGGGGGAGGGATAAGGGAGGATTCTCTCAACTGGTTACTGCAATGATATCTATCGTTGCCTAAAATTGACTGAATTTGACCAGCGTTGACCAGCGTTGGCTTGCGTTGACCGTGTAGAACTCACAGCATAGTGCTGTCAAACAAGAGGGGAGGCAATCCCGCACTCGGAGGCTCCGTGGCCGCCGCTGAATACCTCTTGACTTGCGTTGACATGCGTTGACCTACCAGAACTCACCGCGTGGTGCCGTCAAACAAGGCAGGAGGCGGCGATCCCGCACTCAGAGGCTCCGTGGCCGCAGCTGCCGCTGCTGCGATCTTTGCCTGAGTCATTGCTGCCAGCCTAGCCTTGCCGTGAATCCCTCGCGACGTGACACGTGGCAGAGGCACGCGATTGGCGCGCAGGGAGGAGCCGAATAAGGTCCTACGTGGCAAGATGGCACGAATGAAGGGACGGGACACAGGAGACGGAAGAGGGAAAAGGGGATTTGACACGTGCATGCCACGATGCAACCTCTCGATTCAATCTAAAAGCAATTGGGAAAGTTATGCGATGAACGCGGTGCGGTAAACGCGCAGCTCGATCGCATGGTGTGGGCTGAGCACCCAAGGCAAAGAGGAGCGAATGTGAGAGAAGACGGAAACTGCTCGGTGAGGAGATAAACGCACTTCGACGATGGAACTGCGCGCGCGAATGACTGAGCCCCTTGATTCGCTAAAATGGTGGCGGAGGAAGAGGCGACGGAAGCAGCCATGGCTCGTAGTGCTGCGAGATCACACGGCTCGTAGCCTTCCCGAGCAGAGTAGTAGTAGTAAAGAGTAGCTACACGTGTGCAACAAAGGCTTTTCAGCTGTGCATGCGCTGAATTCAGAAATGGTGGATTCTGATTTTGTACCCGTCATGGACTGACTCGAATGTGTTTAGAGTTAGAGCCGTAGACCCCTCCAAGAGTGGTTAAGGTTAAGGTTATATTAAGGTCGTAACCATGTACAGCAAAGCAAAGCAGCTGGAAATATGGTCTACACAAACCAACAGCCCAGAGGCGTACATAGGAAATACGTTATTTCCTTATCAACTGATAACCACCAGCAAGGCCGAGGAGCGCTCTATGCTAAAATGGAAAGGAGTGCCTAGGGGGGACGAAAGGGGTCTCCGAGAAGCCATGACGAGCGAAGATCTGGGTGGATGGAAGGGTTGCCCTCCTGATAAAAAACGAAAAAGCGTAGTCGGGTGGCCAGCTTAAGACGAGAGGCCGAGCGTTGTTGTTTCTTAACTGATTGTTTCTTCCTGCGCCAGAGGAAAATTCTTAAAGCGAGGAGGAATTGTGCCAGGATGAATTGGAGAGTATCAAAAGAGGAGGAGGGTGAGTCGTGGAATTTATGATCACAGCGCGCGCTCCAAATAGCCTTTGCGGAGGCACGTACCAGAAGGCTCCAGGGAGCCACCTGGCCAGCCCTCGAGGCGAGCGGAAAGAGCAAGAGCTCAAGAGGAGGAGAACAGTGGAGGTGGCGGCGAGCGACAGATGAGAGGGCGGAGATCACCGCAGGAGCCACCCCGCATTCGTAAAAGATGTGGGAGATAGTCTCAGTGGGAGCAGAAGGACAGAATAGGCATGTCCCTCGATCAGCAGCAAAAGGGAAACGAGAACCCGAGGGAAGAGCACGAGTGAAGAACCGGTACAGGATGTCGCGTTGTAGGCTAGGTTGTTTTCGTAAAAAATCATGAGAGTAGTTCGGGATGAGAGGAGGAGGAGAGGGGAGGGCGCGGATCCAACGAACGTCATGGTCAAAGGGCAGCTGGGTGTAGAGGCGACGGCGAAGATCAGCTACACTGGGACACCCGTCTTGTAAGATGTCGAGCCGCGCGCCGAGACCTGCACCTGTATAGTACGGACCTGCAAGCCAGGATCCGACGACGTAGACCGATGTGAGGGCACCTATGTGAAAGGTGCCAGCGCCGAAAGATGAACGGATTATGAACCGGTTGGGGAGGACACGATGGAGGGTGGCAGATAGTGAAAATGGAGGGGAAAATGAGGTAACCTGGAGAGCGAGTGTTGGGGAAGAGTCAGCATCTTGCGTGGGAAGGAACCACTCCCCAGGGGCTGCTATAGGGGGAGGGGGGGAGCGAAGAGCCACCCACCAGGTCCTGGGGATGGCACGGATAAGTTCCTGCCATACTCGTCGTCCACAGGGGGTGTTGGCGGGGGAGCACGAGGATATGAAATCCTTAAAAGAGACCAGACCAAGTGAGTAGAAAGTGAGTGATACCAAATTGCCGACACGAACTTGCGGGGATAGGAGAAAGCGTTCACGCGAAAGAATTCCAAAGGGCTTTCCATTTGGTTTAAGAATGAATCGGTTGAAGGCGGCGGGTTCGGCCATTATGCACATTGGGTTAAGTCGAGGAGGGGAAATGATCGGAGAAATGTCAATCAATGCCTGAAGTTCAGCAAGCGATCGGCTCGGAGTGTCCGCTGGAAGAATACCCGATTGGAGGATGGCGGGGTGTGCTAGAAAACAATGGGTGCCAAAAGGAAGGCAGACGGCGGTTCTCGCCACCTCCTCAGACGGTGAAACACCGAAACGACGCAACGCACGTTGGGCGGCAAGGGCGCGAATTTGAGTGGAGGGTGCAATTGCCCCGAGTCCACCGTGACGAATAGAGTTGTACAGGAGGCGATTGGGGATGAGGCGTACCCCAAGGCCGTGTTCCTTGAATCTAAAAGATGAGAGGAAGTTCCCGACCGTGATGTCGAGCCGTTTTATGATGTCGGGGGTGGGGGGTTGGAATCGACCAGGGAAAGAGAGGACGGAGTTAAGGAACACCGAGGCAAGTGTCTTGCGGCAGGTGGCTGTAGCGCGTAGGGCTGCAAGGAACTTAGCCGTACGTTGGACGCGCGAAAGGGTCGTAGACCAGGTGGTAGCGCCTGGATTTGCTCGTTCGACATAAATGCCTAGAATATGTCAAACATTATATATGTTGTGTTTGTGTAGGCTGTAGTGGGTTAGCCTATAGGGGGGTCACAACATTAGGGTTTCATATTTGTACTCACCATCCTTTCTAGTTCCTCATTCCTGCCTGTTCATTCTGACATGGTATCAGAGCAGGTCCTTTGCTAGGACCGCTCCTAGGGCCCACCGCTACCTACCTACCTACCTACCTATCGTGCGCCCTCGTGCGCCCTCGTGCGCCCTCGTGCACCCTCGTGCGCCTCTCACTACCGAGCGCCCTCGTGCGCCTTAGCGCCCTTGTGCGCCTCTACCTACCGCACGCCCTCGTGCGCCTTAGCGCCCTCGTGCGCCTCTACCTACCGCGCGCCCTCGTGCGCCTCTACCTACCGCGCGCACGCAGCCCGCTAGCCACCCGCGCGCGGCTCGTTTTTAACGCGCGCGACTCGCTAGCCGCCCGTGCGCGGCCGATTTTTCGCGCGCGCGCCTCGCTAGCCGCCCGCGCGCGGCCGATTCTTCGTGCGCGCGACCAGCTAGCCGCCCGCGCGCGGCTTAGGGTTTGTCACGCGACCCGTCGCAGCCTTGTGCGGCTCCGCGCACTGCCCGCGAGCTGCCCGCCGCTGCAGGCTCTCGCCGCCCGCCGCGTCGCCTTTCCCGTGGCGTCGTCACCTCCCTACCCGCTCGTGGCGGCCCTTTCAGCCGCCGTCGCGGCTCCTTACCCACGCATCGCGGCCCCTTAGCCGCCCGTCGCGGCTTCGACTTCGTCTGCAGCAGCTGCCGCTACCGAACCTGCAGCAGCAGCCGCCGCCGACCTGCAGCAGCTGCCGCCGCCGAGCCTGCAGCAGCAGCCGCCGCCGACCTGCAGCAGCTGCCGCCGCCGAGCCTGCAGCAGCAGCCGCCGCTCGACCTGCAGCAGCTGCCGCCGCCGAGCCTGCAGCAGCAGCCGCCGCTCGACCTGCAGCAGCTGCCGCCGCCGAGCTTGCAGCAGCAGCCGCCGCTCGACCTGCAGCAGCTGCCGCCACCGAGCCTGCAGCAGCAGCCGCCACCGACCCTGCAGCAGCAGCCGCCGCCGAGCCTACAGCAGCGGCCGCCGCCGACCCTGCAGCAGCAGCCGCCGCTCGACCTGCAGCAGCTGCCGCCGCCGAGCCTGCAGCAGCTGCCGCCGCCGACCCTGCAGCAGCTGCCGCCGCCGAACCTGCAGCAGCTGCCGCCGCCGAGCCTGCAGCAGCAGCCGCCGCCGACCTGCAGCAGCTGCCGCCGCCGAGCCTGCAGCAGCAGCCGCCGCTCGACCTGCAGCAGCTGCCGCCGCCGAGCCTGCAGCAGCAGCCGCCGCTCGACCTGCAGCAGCTGCCGCCGCCGAGCTTGCAGCAGCAGCCGCCGCTCGACCTGCAGCAGCTGCCGCCACCGAGCCTGCAGCAGCAGCCGCCACCGACCCTGCAGCAGCAGCCGCCGCCGAGCCTACAGCAGCGGCCGCCGCCGACCCTGCAGCAGCTGCCGCGGAGCTCCCTGCTACGACCTGGCCCCGCCCCGCTGTTGCAGCGGCCACGCTGTCGCCACTGTCTTGCGCCCGCCGCACCAACCACTGGTGAGCTTTGCCGTGCTAGCACTGCTACCGTTACTGCTGCTGCTACTGCCTTTACTGCTCCTGCTGTTGCTGCCGCTACTGCTGCTGCTCCTGACGTGGCCAGATGCAGCTCCAGCAGGCTCGTGAGTGGTACGCCGGCTTGGGCAGTCGGGGTGGCCGTAGTGGTAGTCGCTCTGGAGTGCGTCGTTCGGGAGCCTCTGGTAGTAGACCGGTGCAGCAGACGTGCCCTCTTCTGCTCCAGCAGGCTCGTGAGTGGTACGCCGGTTTGGGCAGTCGGGGTGGCCGGCGTGGTAGTCGCTCTGGCGTGCGTCGTTCGGGAGCCCCTGGTAGTGGACAGGTGCAGCAGCCGTGCCCTCTTCTGGTCCAGCAGGCTCGTGAGTGGTACGCCGGTTTGAGCAGTCGGGGTGGCCGTAGTGGTAGTCACTCTGGCGTCCGTCGTTCGGGAGCCTCAGGTAGTGGACAGGTGCAGCAGCCGTGCCCTCTTCTGCTCCAGCAGGCTCGTGAGTGGTACGCAGGTTTGAGCAGTCGGGGTGGCCGTAGTGGTAGTCGCTCTGTGAGTGAGGCAGCCGCTCTCGGTGCCAGTACGTCTGTTGCCCTCGGTGCAGGTGAGGCTACCACTCCCGGTACTCGCGTGTCTGCTACTCCAGGTGCTGGTGAGCCTACTACTCTAGGTGCTAGTGCGTCTGCTGCTCCAGGTGCTCGCGTGTCTGCTACCCCAGGTGATGGTGAGGCTGCTGCCCTAGGTGCTCGTGCGTCTGTGCCCCCTGGTACTGAGTCGACTGCAGCACTGCACACCTTCACCCTGGACTCAGGTGCTTCTCGCTCTTTCTTTCGTGACCGCACTGTCCTTGAGCCACTCGCTCGGCCAGTTGCTGTCTCCCTTGCTGACCCCTCTGGGGGTCCGGTCATTGCGACCTCCTCCACTGTCCTTCCTTGTCCTGCGGTCCCGTCCGGCACGCTGTCAGGTCTCTACCTCCCCTCGTTCTCTACGAACTTGGTGGCGGGTTGTGCGCTCCAGGACTCGGGTGTTCACCAGTTCACCCCTGCCTACGAGCGCGTGACACACTGCACGTGTGCTCGGACGGGTCGCCACCTGGCTACTTTCACTCGAGAGCCGGGGTCGGACCTGTACACACTGACCACTGAGTCCCCTCAGGTAGCTGCGTCTGCGTCTACGTCTGCGTCTGCGTCAGGTCAGCTGTCCGCCCCCTGCTCGTG